TTATTTTCGTCTGTCTTATCAGCTTTGGAAGTAAGTGGATTGACACCAGGCAAAGAGTATCTGTTCCGAGTTAGCGCTGTAAACGCCGAGGGTGAATCTAAACCTCTGGAAGCTGAACAAGCAATCCTAGCTAAGAACCCATACGGTAAGTAAATTAAAACGAAAATTGAATATTTACTCAGCATTATATTTTAATTTATTTATAATTATATTTATTAGATTGAGTACTGATTTTATCAAAATAAACTTAATTGTATTAAACTTCAAATGAACCAGTTAAAATACGTAATATTAATAAATGAGAAAACATTTTTCGTATCGAACGATCTAATGTACAGACTCAATCCAATATTACTCCTAATTTTCAATTTCTAATTTCATTCGTAACTTTTTAAACTTCAAATGAGTCGGATAAACTATGTAATATTAATACAATCACAAACTAATGGAGAAAACGCTTCTCGCGCAGACGAGCCAGACAAACCAGGCGATCTTCGTGTCACCGACTGGGACAAGGACCACGTTGATCTTACGTGGATACCGCCAGCGAACGACGGCGGTTCGCCAATTACTGGCTACATAATCGAGAAGAAAGACAAATACGGCGAATGGGAGAAGGCGTTAGAAGTGCCAGCGGACGAAACATCCGCCACTGTTCCCGACTTAATAGAAGGCCAGCCGTACGAGTTCCGCGTGCGAGCCGTAAACAAAGCTGGCCCTGGCGAACCTTCCGATCCAACGCCAACGATCATTGCCAAGCCGCGAAACCTGCCACCGAAAATCGATCGTACAAATCTGGTGGAGGTCAGAATCAAAGCTGGCCAGAACTTCGGCTTCGACGTGAAGATTACGGGCGAACCTGCTCCAGTAACGAGATGGATGTTAGCGAAACGCGAGGTCCGACCCACCGAGCGTATAAAAGTGAAACACGTGGATTACAATACGAGCCTCCACGTGAAAATGGCTAGCAGAGCAGAATCCGGAAAGTATCAGATCATTGCTGAGAATATAAACGGCATGGACGAGGAGTTTGTGAAGGTGACAGTTTTGGATGTACCGAGCCCACCGCAGGGACCACTGAGAGCGTCTGATGTGCACGCAGAAGGATGTAAATTGACTTGGAAACCACCAGAGGACGATGGTGGTCAACCAATTGATAAATATATCGTTGAGAAAATGGATGAAACGACTGGCCGTTGGGTACCTGCGGGAGAGACCGATGGACCGGAGACTTCGTTGGATGTGGAAGGACTTACGCCAGGACACAAGTACAAGTTCAGAGTTCGCGCGGTGAACAAGCAAGGGAAATCGGAGCCGCTCACAGCGGCGCAGAGCATCGAGGCGAAGAATCCATTTGGTGAGTGAATTTTTACTTGTTATTAAAATGGATGTTATTAA